GCAAAATATTCTTTTGCTTTGGGCTGAAATGAAGGAAGGTAGACGATGGGTTTTCTTTAACAGAGAGAATTGTGGGTAAGATGACCTGCTTATCAAAGATCAGCCATTCACTCAGTCAAGGCCTCAAGAGGGGAGAAGCTGCTCAGTTCACGGCTTATGATGACTAGAGATGGTTTTCCTGGTTACCGGTTTTCCCTCTTGCAAATATTTGAGAGTTTGAAATATTTTTCCATTCTGATTCAGGACAAAAAGTCAAAAGCTCAAAAGTACTCACAAAACAAAACCCTTCCCTCCCACCCCCCATTTCTGGACAATCAAAAGGTTTTGTGATAATTTTCAAATGTTTTGATTTCAAACTTTAACATTTTCAGTCTAATTAGCAGCTTACATTTCAAGACAAAAATATTTTCAATCCAGAAAATGATTTTTTTTTCATTTTTAAAATGTCAAAAGAAAATGGTTTAACAATTTAAAAACTTTTTTGACATTTTGTCAAACCCGACCCGGTTTCATGTCGTTTCGGTTTCAATGAATTGGCATTTTTGATGAAAAATAAACAAAATCCTGACCAGTTCTAGTGCTAACCCCTGCTTTCTAGGTCTTCCTGGGCCATTTCCCTTTTCAGAGGCACTGTTGTGTCCAGCTAGGTCTCTGCTGGGAACTAGATGCCTTCAATGTCAAATCTGGTGTGCAATACAGCCTGGGCAAGGTTCAGAGTTCAAGGAAACAAAGTGGACGTGGTTACAGTGAAGCACTGGACCTTGTAAAAGGTACGGGGAGCAGGGATGCACCTGGGTGTTGGATGGTTGGTAAGGTGCCCGGGGTCTGGTTATGGTGTGTGATGATGGCAAGGGGAACGCTAGAACCAGAGTTGAGAGAAGTCAGTTTGCCCATCTGTGACAGTGAGGAGATTGATGAAGCCAGCCCTCAGAGCTTCAGCCACAAGGGAAGGTCAGTGTGGGAGTTGGACTGGTATTGGAGTGGCAGGCTCTCTCCAGCCCACACTGGCCACCCACAGTTAAGTTCCAATCGAACTCTCCCTTCCATCTGATAGCTGGAACAGCGCTGAGGTCTTCTCCCAGCAGTGACTGACAAGTGCAGATGGGGATGGATAGGAGTGTTGGAAAGCCATTACCGAGTAGTGGGCTGGAAAGGGCCTGTAGAGATGGCAGGACGAGAGTGCTGGGCAGTGAAACCAAGATTAAATTTTCCTAGAAATAAGACCAGCTGGAGCCAAACCCACCTGGAATTGAAACAGGAATAAAGAAGCAAACCACATTTCATTTTTATTAGACTAGGAAATATAATTTATTGCATAAAAATTACTTTGTTACAATAGGAATGCTAAACTTTATTTACAGTTCTTAGTTTACAGAATAAACAGATGTGTGTTTAGAGGATGCTGTCAAACTCATCCCCTGGACATATAAATATGCAAACAGAATGCAGAGCAAGAGAATGGACGCTCTCAACAAGAGAAACAACAGCTGATTTTTTTCAATGAAACTATGAAATGCCTGCCCAGTATCACAAAGCTGCTACCCTGCTTTGTGTGATCATAGCATAGTGCATCTCCAAGGGACAGAGATACACACACATATGACCAAAGGAGAAGGCAGCATGTACAGTACTTGGACACTCTGACCCAGTGATCTGAGTGCCACATACACTATAATCCCATGATCCAAGAGAGACGAAGTCAGAGAAGGGGCCACAACACACACACACTGATCGGAGAGAAGCAAATACCTTCCCTTCCCTTTCCCTCCCACACACACACACACACAGCTCCCTTGATCAGAAAGACTAAGAAACACACACACACACACACATACACACAGGGATCTGAGAGAGAGAAAAGCACATATACAGACATTCTGGTTCTGTACTCAGAGAAAAGGGGACACAAACACACATTGATCTCCTGATCTCACCCACACGCTGATCTGAGAGTGAGACAAACACACTGTGATTCTTTAACCAGAGAGGGAGAGAGAGAGAGGGTCAGACACACTGACAATCTACACCTGTCTTCCAAGAGCAGAGCATTTAGGATAAATTTCATGGATACCACTGAATTTCTAAGAAAATAAACAATGACAGGTTATTTACGGTAGCTTTGAAAATGTTAAAATGTCTGTGTATTAGCTGAGTGCTTTATCACTTCCTACATTACTTCCCATATTTGCTTATTTTGTTCAGATTACAAGCAAAATTTCAACAAATCAGATTATGAAATGAAGTCACACAGACTGGTAGAACTCTCTCTATATTACAGCCATATTCAACTCCCACCAAAATCAACAGGAGTCTATTCACTGACTTTAAGGGGAACTGGATCAGTCCCTCAGTTTCTAGCCAAGTCTACACAACACACTGAAAACCCTGTTGATGTAATAACACAAAGAAATGTCAGATAAGCTTGGAGCTCTCCTCCCAACGCAGTCCCCAGCATTGGGAAATGGGATTGTGATAGAGAAAGGTCATGTTTGTCAAACTTCCTGAATACCGTGCAGTCACACTGTTTGCTTTAAGAGGTTTTGTTTGTTTGTTTTTAAAAAAACAGCCACGCAAAAATATTTTCAGCTACATTGGAGCATTTGATCTATCCAAGTAGTCAGTTTTGAGTCTTAGATGATTTAAAAGTTTCATTAAGATATACATCCAAAACTCTGAATACATATCCAGATCTGTATATTACCTACAGATATATACAGATTTCCAGGTTTTAGCGGCTTTTTGCAATTAAAAAAGGGGAAAGTGAAATTTAATATACATAATATTTAATGCACATTTTGCGTGTGAAACAAAAGATGTTTCTGTTTGCGAATTACACTAGTGACCCTGAAATTCACAACACAAGTGTATACCTAGGAGAAAATGGCTGAAGTGCTGGCAAAGAAACTTTTTATACAAGGACTTCTGAAGAAAACAGATTGTGTTTTCACCATAAAAATGGTCCCAGTATTAATTTAAAAACAAAAAAACCCAGAATAGCTTCCATCTGACTAATCAGGCAAGAAGGTACAGCCTCTCCTACATGTAGGCCAGGCTCCAAACTCTGAGACTGTCCTTTTCAATCAAGTTTCAAGACTGGGGCTGATTTGTTCTGCCACTGTTATGGTACCTCTGTACAATGAATCCATCCATTCCCAATGTGGTTGTTTAAGTAGACCCTGTGGGTCCCTTTTCCTACTGTCTGCTGTCAATTTGGAAGCATTAGAGATGGAAACAGGCTTCCAAGTACTTGTGTGCCAAAGAATTAAGCAACTGGAGGTTTAGATCCTGAGGAAATAACAAACTACCTTATAAGGACAATGTCTTATTTTGTTATGCACTGGCTCCCTGAGTTTGTGTTTACTTTTTCTTTAGCTATAGAACTATACCACAGATGGTGGACTGGAGGGAGAAGAATGGGGAAATACATGATGGGAAGCTCACTGTATTCTGTACAGTTTTAAATTATTGGCCACAAAGATCTTGTGGTAAGTGCATTGGGGGTTTCAGAGCAGATGCAGTAGCATCACAATATAATGCTGTATTGTTTGTGTCATGACGTGTTTATCCTGGAGGAGAAACTTTTAAGAGGCAGCAACCAGAGTAAAATATTTCCATTTGTGGCTATTCAAAGTACCCTTCAGAATATTTTTCCTTCATTAAAATACCACATCCTGGAGATGAAACTTATGTTGTGTTCATGGATACCCCTTAATTAAAATCAGCTTTGTTATGTAACCAACCTTCACTTCAACAGAGCACTTTTAATATAGAAAAGAAGGAAAGAAAGGAACTGCTAAGTTCAAAGAGGGAGAACCACTGAGCTCCATGCCATCCTTCCCAGACAAATTAGGTTACCCAGACAGATTAGTGAGGGACTGTCTTCTACTATACATATTCTAATATTTGTCCAGTGTAATTTTAAATGGTCCACAAATTCCCCAGCCTAATCTGTTAGGGATTTTCCTCACCTTTTCTCAATTTCTCCATTACTCCTACTTATATATGCTTGTGCCACCCTAAATAGTTCATCTTCCCTCAAATATGTGTAGACTTATACACCCTTTGGTCAAGTTTGACATATTATGGGCCAGATCCTCAACTGATGTAGCACCACTGCAGACAATGGAGTTATGGTAATTTACATCAGCTTGTCTACACATGGAGTTTTTCAGAAATAGTTACTGCACTTTAAATTCACACTCTGGTTTAATCCAAATTCATTTTATTAAGTGTAGACAAGTCCTGAGGAGTCGGTTCTTAGTTCGCAATCTTTTCTCAGTCAGTCCCTCCATCAAACACCTAGTCATTTTTATTGCCCTTCTCCTATCTCCTTACAGTTGGGTCAATGTATTTCTAGTACTGTTGCACTGAAGACTGCATGCAGTATGCCATAGCGGTAGCACTATGACCTCATGACTCAATGCTGACTGCATATGCCATTGATAATTTTTGCTGCCACATGGTGCTGCAAATGTCTAATTTGCAGTGTTTTCTTATTTCCCCCACCCCACAATTTCATTTAGCATTAGTGCCTGCCAGGTTTCTCTTTCCCAATGAGTTTGTATTTCAGACGATCTTTTTCTGCAGATAAAACAGCTGCATTTTCCAATTTTAATCTCATATTGCTATCTTCAGACAGTGTTTCCAATCTCACTGGGTCCCCTTTGTATTAGTTCTCTTTCTTCACTGGTACTTGCAACACATTCTAGTTTTGTACCACCTATGAATTTCATTAATGTGCTGTTTACTCTCTCTTACAGATCATTGACCACTGCACGACCATGCCAAACTCCTCTCCCACTTGCTGCACTACTCTTTATGGTCTCTCGACCAGCGTTCAGTACAAGCATATTTCAATCAATTTATCAAAGTAAGAGTTTGCGAAACATTGTATCAAAAGATGGATTTGATTATAAGGACTTTAAAATGATGTGGTCTTCAAACTAACCTCTATATCGCAGGCCACTGGACCTTGCTTTGTAAAAATAACCCCTTCTCACTCAACACTCCTCCCAGTGGGAACCACTTGTTTAAAGTGCCAAAATATAGATTTAGGAGTCTAACTGTAGGCTCCCATTTTTTACAGTCTTGGCTTATGGATGGTGGCATGTTGCTGTGTGTTAGTGCACGACTGTATCAGTGAGTGTGTGTATTTACATTGTTGATATGAAGGTCTATTTATCCTAACAAGTTTCTTTCTTTCTTTCCCAAATGTCCCAAAAGAATTTCCTCCTAAAAATACAGATCTTAAATACTTTGGGCTCCAAAATCTGACCCACCCCAGAATTGTAATAATCTGATGGAGGCTGTCCCATAGATGCCAACTAGTTTTTGATGAATTCACCACTGTGTTAAAGCACTAACCTTCCCTCCTAAACAACCCACATAAGAGAAGAAAAACCAAACAAACAAACCGCTACTGTAGCCTCTTGTCCTCCCCTTGCTGGCTGTGCTGGGCGTTTAGTGAGTTTTCTAACAAAGGAAACTCCCAGAGCTGTACTGATTGCTTAGGAACTAGGAAAAGGCCCATTACCAGTAATGCTCATCTTGTTCAATTTCCTGCCAGTGCAGGAGTATTCCCTGCAGTTTAGTTTTAAACAGCTCACATTTGAGGGTGTCTACTGCTTCTTCTGGGAGAGACTTCCACACTCCAACGACGAATACACTTTCCCCTGATATGCAGCTGAAAGTGTCCTTTGTACATTATCATTCCATTGAAATGATGACACTGGTGCACACAAAAAGAAGCTAATGCTCTGAAGCCACATTCTTCTCTCTGATTCAAACAGAGATGAGATGGGATTGGGAAGGAACGATCCCTGAAAGGAGGGGACAGAAGGCTGTGTGAGGTTTCAGCTTCTGTAACAACGCTGAGGACTTTAGTTGCCATTTGAAGAAAACTATGAAAAGAGCGACAATGTCCCTTTAAACTTGTTTCCAGAAATGGGTTTGTTCTTCTGTGAGCTGGTTGCTTAAGTGGCCTCTTTGCATTGTGCTGCAGCCATAAGGGAGAGGGCTCAGCTTGCCCTTTCTGTGCCACATGGGTCTCTAGGCACTTAACCAATCTGACTTCAGCAAGGGTCCAGAGATATGGAAACAAGTTGTTCTTGACTTTTTGTGTGTGTTTTCATTACTAATTCTCGCAAGTGTTTTACTTTAAATCTCTCTCTCTCTCTCTCATTCTCACTCTCACGCAAAGCGGACTGATGCTCTTGCTCACACACAAAAGACTTAATGTTTTTGTTTTTTTAAAAAGGACTCATCCAAAGATCTGGATAATAAATTATTTGCGTTTCCTAAGAAACTGTGGTTTTTTTCCTTTTTTTCCCCTTAATAAGCTGTCTGAAGCATTTGACAGAAGTAAGCAGTTTGGCTAGATTGTACTCGAGTCTTCTAAGCATAAATGCCATTAAAGAAGAAGAACAAAGGTGGGGGGGGGGGAGAAGAAAACCCCCCCAAAATGAAACAAAAATAAACCTCAACCCAGACTCTAGAAGCCCTATATTCCTGCATGCTATGGCGGAAGCAGCTGCCCACTTCCACCAATGGCTGTCATCACGGTCACCAAAGATGCACTGCTCTTGCGCCACACTCCGGAGGATGGCCAGGAGGAGGAGAGAGCCTGTTTAACACTTGGATTGCTTGTAAACGGTGTGGTTGGATCTCTAAGGCGGAGAGTGACTTGGTGAGGGAGGAGTGGGAGAAGGAGTTTGCCTTTACCCCTCATTGTTAGCTACAGATCAGCAACCCACCAGACACAAAGTAGAAATTGGCCCCGTCCCCACAACCCTTCCCTACCAGTTCAGGAAAGGCTGTTCTCTATTTTCTTCCTCCTCCTTCTCTCCTCCCTCCACTCTGTCCTTCTCATCCATTGCCTAAAGACTACCAGCTACTTGAAAGTAACATCAGCAGTCCCCCTCTGTTGCCATGACAACCAGCATCTCGCTCTTGCCCATCTCTTCCAAGGCACTAGCCAGGGTATTGAGATCACCATCATCTTGGTGCTGGGCTTCCCATAAGTCCAGGATCACCCCTGTTGGGCTGGCTTTGGTGGCAAAGTAGTTCAGATACCTGTGAACGGAGAGAGAGAGAAAGTTGTGTTTAACTTTACACATTTACCCTATTGGTATGGTCTGAAGGCAGCAGAAAGGGGTGTTGGGAAAGGAGGCCAGGGTATTAGACTCTGGAGCAAATCTGGGTAATTCTCTCTGATGTGCACTGGGATGGAAATGCCGTAATTGAAATGCAGGGCTCCTCAGGGCATCATCTACATTTATTATACAGCACTGATGCAGAAAACATTCATGGAAAAGCAAGGCATATTTTATTTTATTAAAATTACAAATGCTCTCTCTATCCCTGCCCCCAAAGTGAAATCCTAAAACAGAACAGCCCAAGAGCCATCAAGGTCCCTGGCCGGAGGCACTTGCTTTGCACAATCATGGCAGAATTTTAGGAATGTTCAGCCAGTCCAGGATCTAACTGGATGCACATCACTCAGGGCTCTACAGTATGAATTAAAGGGGGGAGAGCACCATTCAAACCCAACAGGGAATATCAACTTCCCCACCCTCCAGGTCTCAAGTGTCTCAGCTCAAATGCTCAAAGGTCTCAGCATTGTGGCTGAGTGGAAGGAGCACAGGGTTGGGAATCAGAAACTCGCGAGCTCTAATTCTCTCTCAAGTACTGGATCACTGTGTACCCTTATAGAAATCGTTTCACCCTCTCTGTGCCTCAGCTCCCCGTCTGTAAAGCAGGGATAATAGCAGAGCCCTACCTCACAAAGGGGTTGCAAGGATAAAGTAGTTCCTGAATGTACATCTAGTGCTACACAGTGGTATTTCTGAGTCACCAGAGCTTCATTTTTGTGGCTTTTCACACAGTATTCCTTCCCTCTCCCTTCCCTTATAAGCCCACTATCGTTCTCGATGCTTGCCGGCTTCGTGTCATCAGAGACAGCGCTGGATCCCCAAAGTGCAGAGTAACATGGAAATACAAAACTCTGTTTTCCCAAATGACAGGTGTGAGGCAGGAAGGTGAGTGCCGAGCATCTAGTGCTATACAGCGAACTGAAACCCACCGATCCATGGAAAGTTTCTGAGCAAGAAGTCTCCAGTCATTTCCTCTTGAATTGGGGGCATCAAGGCTGTTGCAGATTTTCTGCCGGATGGATAGCGGGATCTTGAAGGCATAGGGTCCCAGCTGGGTAGTCACAGCACTGCCATGGTGCAAGCAGAAGGCATCAAAGGAGCTGGCATTCTGGGAGAAAAAACATTTCAGAATGCTTTAAGAAAAAAGATTTCAATGGAGAACTCCTCCCTTATCAGCCTGCACTGTGTCCCCCCTTGTCACCTTACCCTGCCCACAATTCAGGGTCTGTGCATTCCTGCCCAAGAGCAGGGATGATTGTGTTTCTTTATGTGGAATTTCAACAGTGCTTTCAAAAACTATCCAGCAGCAAAGATAACTTGGGATCACAGAGAGACTCAGACAGACAAAAAAAAAAAAAAAAAAAAGATCGGGACAGGGAAAGAGAGATACAAGATGGTAACATTCACTAAAATGCATTAGGCATGGATGTCTAAGAACAGAAACAAAAAGAGAGAGGTGGATAACATGCCACAAAGAATAACAGTGAAGCAGCTAGTTCTTAGTGACACCAAACTCTTCCCCTGAGGGTCCCTTCAGTGAACCCAGTCGAAAGCAACCTCCAAATATCAGTGCATGTGGCTAAACAATTTGGAGCAGAGCCAGCAGCATCAGAGCACATTTTCAGGGCTGCACAAATATTAAAGCCTTGAAATTCCCAGTGACTCTTCCAAATGCACTGGCTACCAAAGCCCAGCCCTTGGCCTCTTCATTCACTCCCATCTCATTGGTTAGCACACACTTTCACCTGGCTGTGAGAGGGGACAGTGCCGACTGGCATTTTAGTGCCATCCCCAAAACAGACTCTGGGAAACAGAACTCGTACACAGCAGAGGTTATGTGCTATTATTTCGTGATCCACAGGTAGTGTTCTAGGGGATGCTCATGTACCAAAAATCAATGTCTCATCGATATTTTCAAAAGCAGGGTAACAAATTCTTACCACAACTTAGCCCCTTTGCTGTTACTGCCAGAATCTGCTGGTATCTCAGCAATAGCTGTAACTGGATGATCATTCAATTCAGTGGGCTTTTCTCTGTACCTCTCTCTCTCCCTCTCTCTCTCTCGAAGTGAAAGCAGTGCTAGTGAAAGGTGGTAGGCTGACAGACCTAGATACTAAAGGTTCACTATTTCTCTAGTCCTGGCAGGGAGAGCAACAGTGCCAGTTTCCCTACACTGCCTTGCCATTCCACAAACTGGCTCTACAGGGGTCACCTCTGAGCAGAAGAGGGTAGTTCAGTTTACAGGCCTTGGTCATTGTCCTGAGAATCACGAAGAGAGCTAGTTACCACCAACTGTGAGACAAATCTCTGACTGAACCACAAACTTAAGAAACAGGAGGCCATGGCCAACACAGATGTTAATGTAGCGTGGCATCCACAGTGGTAAAACACTGAGGAGTACTGAGAGGGGCTCAGATACTATAGTGATGGGCAACCTCTATATTAGATAAAATCGATATACCGGGATTCATGGAGGACATCTGAGGACCATTTCTAGTCTTCTCTGTTACTAGAGAGGATGGAGGACTTCCTCTTTGGTAACTAGCCTAGTGGACACATCCACAGATGGCTGTAGCTGAGCCTCAGTGATCCCAGGCTATTATCTATGGCAACAGCAGCAACACGGCAAGGGACATTTAAAGAAATAGGATGCTGTTATTCTTTTATTTAACAAGAGTGGCAAAAAGGGAAGCGTACCCCTGAGGCAACAGCACCAGCTTTCTTTGAGCTAGTTGAGAGCCTGATTCCAGTCTCACTTACACCACACATATCAGCACTCACTCTATTGACATCAATAGAATTACACTGGTGGAAAACTCAGATCAGAATCAGCCCCTGGGAGTTCAGGTCAATACCCTCAGAAGAGATATCATCAGACCATGCTCCTTCCTCTGCCCTCCCAGGTATAACTATGAGTGGGCACGGCCTCCCTGCTCTCTTCCCTTTCTCTTTGCTCACCTCTCCGAGTGTAGTGTGCAGCTGGAATATCTGCCCTTCCCCTTCCACCTGCCGGACGCAGATCTTGCAGGTGAGCTCTGTGGAAGCCAGGCTGTATCTCTCCAGGGTGAAGGTGCAGTGCAGAGCCCTCTGGCTGCCACTCCAGATGTGATAAAAGGGGATTTCCTGTCACAGCAGATTAGTTCAGTAGAATGTTACACAAAACTCAACAACCCTTCGTAAATACAGGAAGGGCTTCCTGACTAAAACCCATTGGGGTTTTTTTCATATTTGAAATTATTTATTTTTATTATTTCTTTAAGTGGTAATTTTTTTAAATGCCTCCCAAAAAGGTTCTAGGTGCCTGACAATTAACTGTACAACAACCATAATAATGACCACACAGCCCTGTAAATACCATATAGATTTGCTTTTAAGTCATATTCTAGATTTCCCAGCTTCTACTTCGACTGGCAGGAGATAGGGATCATTCTGTGCTGACAACTGGCAGGGTGGGACAGGGAAAACTGACAGACAGTGACCCAGCTACCATGCTGGGACCCTGAGTCAAATATGGTAAGTGAAAATTCCCCTGCTGCCTTCTCCTTCCCTTAGAACAGTGGTTCTCAGCCTAGAGTAAGTGTACCCCTGGGGGAACATGGAGGTCTTCCAGAGGGTACATCAACTCATCTAAATATTTGCCTAGTTTTACAACAGGCTACATAAAAAGCACTAGCCAAGTCAGTACAAACTGTATTTTTATGTCTAATTTTGTAAGCAAGTAGTTTCTAAGTGAGGTGAAACTTGGGGTACACAGGACAAAGACTCCTGAAAGGAGTACAGTAGTCTGGAAAGGTTGAGAGCCACTGCCTTAGAAGACAGCCTGAGAGAGCAGAGAGATATATCACTCTCTTAGCAGATAATCACAGGTAGATGGGGGAGCCCTAAATCTTGACTAGATAAGAAAGTGAGTAGGCAAGGTGCTGGATTACTAGATCTCAATAGTATGAACATTGCTTACTTATCACCATCAAAGGCATGATCACAGATCTATATCAGAGCATGTAAAGCATAATCCAAACATACTTTTGCGCCTGGATTGCTGCTGGCATTCAAATATTGATACATTATAATATATATATACACACACACAGAGTATATATACACTGTCATTCATGCGTTATTGCTTAATTATATATGAGTGAGCATGACACATGGGTCCCTGTGTGAACGGGTGTTCTTTTCTACAAACAGATGGATGAATAATTGCTTCATAGCTGTTGTTTCTATAGGGACCATTTTAGTAAAGTTTCCCTTTTGGGGGCACCTTCGGATCACTCTGCCCTGTCCTTCTCCTTCCCCCAACTTCTGCACTAGTAGCTAAAGTTCCAGTGTACTGCTACACATGAAAATTCCATGTAACCCATATTACCACTTGGCCACCCACCTGGTATTTAGCCAGCAGCTTGCTCTTCCACAGCGAGTGGGGGATATCATGGATGGAGAGGCGTAGGTTGTGATAACTGTCTTTAAAGAGTAGTGGCTTGGGTTCCTCTATCAGGTAGCCACCCAGAGTCTTTTCCAGTTCAAGCACTTCCTATAGGGCAGACAGAGGATGGGAAGCCATGACATCAAAGGTTACCACTATCAAGTGGAGCACATGAGTTTTTAAGGCAGCGCTATGTCAATGCAGGGTCCACACTGTTCAATGAACTCTGCCAAAAAACTTTACAAAGTACAAAAACAACAACAACAACAACATTCAAGTTTAGTATGTTTTGAAGATATTGACATAATGGATAATGGTTGGTGTTGCAATGCAAGCCAACCAACCAGAGTTGAAATGACAAGAAGAATGACACTAAGTTTAGCCCCAGTAATCAGCAAAACACAGGGAAATTCAAATCCACGGTGTGACATGTCTCTTAAGAATTACAACAGTTGCACAGGTGCAATGATAAAACAAGAGTACAGCATCCTGCACTAAAGAGATATTTTAACATATAACAGACTAGGCAATGCTTACAACCCTTGCTGTGCTTCCCGTAGGGCCTTCTTCAGGGTAAGTTACTTCCCTGATGAAGGGCTGATCATTTGAAAGTTACTCTGATTCTACAGAACACACTCTCTCTAAGCTAGACCCCAATGAATTTTTTGCTGGTGAAATGTGCCATATTGACAGCCCTGGAGAATAAATTCTTCCACTTATCCAAAGAAGACCTACAACAGTGCAAGCTTCCAGATACTGCCTGGGCAATATCACTAAACCCTGACTCAAAGGATCACCTCTCAGGGGGAGATGGGAATTCAGTTTTCTCCCTCATTCCATTCTTGGCCTGTCTGTTAAGGAGCTATGATAGTACATTGTGTGATGTTGACACCGATTCACCAGAACCTGGACTTAGTCCACCAACTCATTTCATAGAGGCCATCAAATAGTCATCAGATGGGAACAACTTTCAGTCACTACCATGCTGATTTGGATTTGAGTAACCTCAATGTGAAAGTCTGTGCATCCTCATAAGTCACCCCGTGGATATTTTAGAATCTGAAAACAGAACTATGCTGATTGCAATATAAGAGTTAATGAGACAGCACACAACACAGTGAGGCCAGAAACATTGTTTTGGCTTTGGATGTTGGACCCTGCCGTATTTTTCAGGTAATCTGAAGGTCTGTATTTCATAACTATGTACAGGTGGGGCACTTTAACAAGTGTGTGTGTGCCACCAGTGTTAATAGCACTGCTCTGCTTCAATAACAACCCAAATCACAATAGTTCTTTTCAGTTCAAGAGACACCTACTGGTTTCTAGCATGTTCTTTTTTCATCACCACTTTAAACTTTATTTTACCAGTGTAAGACAATGTTGTTTTTATAAGAAAAATAAGATCCAATAAGATTGCCAAGTGTGGAACTCCATCTAGAGAGATCACAACAAGGGCAAGAAAGTAACACAGGAAATAAATGGAACAAGCACAAAGGTCCCAAGGCACCCACCTTAAGAGATGATTTATAAGAACTAAGTTTAATATTATTAATTATTATTATATACCACAGACAGACAGACAAGGAATCCTCGAGTAGGAATAGGGAAACGTGTCTAAGCCAGGGACAGTGGGAGCTGTGGTGAACTGAGTATTATCATGGTATATCAATTTAGGGTTCATTAGCACAGGAAGGAGAGAAAATCTTCCAGCAGTGACAACAACATAAGCCCTTGTGTAATCTCTGCAGAAAGAAGGCACACAATATAGGTTATGAAACACACTCCCTTCCCCTCGATATTTCCTCCAAGGACCATGGAAAATGTTATGGCTGATCTCTGGGGAACACAGTAAACATGCTTATTATTTAACTTTGGTCATTTTTCACAGGGTTGCATCAGGTTGTTTGCTCCCTGGAGCCAGACCTTTCCGAGAGACACCACACAGCATCTTGCGTGCCAGCATGACCACATTTGGAAGCAATGGCAGGAGCAGGCTGAAGCAATTTGTAGCCCAAATACAGAGACTGAGGCAGCTGGAAGAGCAGTATTCAAAAGTAAACTTACATGCACTTAAACCTAGGGGGGAGGGATAGCTCAGTGGTTTGAGTATTGGCCTGCTAAAACCTAGGGTTGTGAGTTCAATCCTTGAGGGGGCCACTTAGGGATCTAGGGCAAAAATCAGTACTTGGTCCTGCTAGTGAAGGCAGGGGGCTGGACTCACTGACCTTTCAAGGTCCCTTCCAGTTCTAGGAGATAGGATATTTATAAGCTTGATATTAACCAGCTACTGTGAGCCAGAGTCACAACTGGTGTAAACCACCACAGTCAATGGAGCTGTGCTGATTTATACCAGCTGGTGGTCTGGCCCTATATATTTAGAAATTTGCACAAGGACTAACAAACTTGTGGGCTGGTGACCTACTCAAAGCATAGTTCAGCTTACAGATCACTTCATGGAAAGATTCCAAAGCCCTCAGGATTATACCAGCTCTGGATCAAGTGCAGCAGATAAACCTACCTGAAAATCTCTGATGAATATATTGTCTAACGTTAGTGCTGGGCTAACGAAAATGGATTTATGTCTGTTGCCCATTGGGACTGCCAGGCTCTAAGCTAGTTTGCTTTCCCCTGTCATGGAGCAGAACATGCTCACAGTTAATCAGTGTTTTTCCCTGCAGTCTTAGGATGAGAAAGAGCTGGAGAGTGACAAGACGTTCAGAGTTCAAAAAAGAAACACTTTTATAGCTTAGTGATTATTCATTATTTGCTCTACGGTGAAATGATCTTATGAATCCACAGGTACTAAAACGGGGCTGAAGATAGAAAAATGTGACAGTGGGGGGTTGCTTACTCGTGACCCCAAACTCTCAGGCAGCGTTACCTTCAATGCGTCTGGTGTGTCCTCCAAGCAGTACACTTTGAGGCTGTATTCTAATGAGGTGCAGACGGTAGGTGCAAAGATAGCCAGCTGGAGTCTCTTGATGGCTGACCTGGAGTAGGACTCTCCCACAAAAACATAGGTGCCAAGCTGGTCTAGTAAAACATGGCAAGACTTAGGCTCAAGCTGGCAGTAGCAGGGAGTGTTCAGGGTCTCCTCATCCAGGGTCACAACTTCCTAAAGGGAGGGATTAAAAACAAAGGTTCCTGGTCAGCCCTTTTGCTCCAGAGTAATTTGTTTGGCATAGGCACTGAAAAGTTTCCACTCATCATTCACCATGACACTTTCTGTAGTGCTGCAGCAAGCTAGCACGAGAACAGCTGTGAGCTTTCCACACAAACAGCACTCCATCCCTGCAGTAAACCGGACAACCAACCCCTTCCCACCCCCACCCCTCCCGCCCCAATCTGAACTCCTATCCTTTCCCTGACAGTGACAATTCCTCAAAAGGCTATGACTGGAATTGCTGTGACCTGCTCTGCAGCCTGCATTCCCACATGTCTCCTGCTGACTGAGGTGGAGCTCTGTGATGACATTTTGTTTCCATTGTATTATTAAAGTGCACTTTACCTCCCAGTTTCCTTGGTGGGATTGTGTTTTCAGCTGGAAAATCCAGTCTGAGGAGTTGATGTCCGCACAATGGGGGATGGTGAGAATGACTGGACGACACAAGAGCAACCCAGTGGGTCCGCAGGTCACCATGGGACTCAATACTGTCTGCGTGCCTTCTGAAGGTAAGCTGGAGGGGATGAATAAACACATACAGAAAATATTTAGCCTATGCCAGCCAAGTCATGCACCTGAAGAAAGAAGGCCAGCCTGCACAGTGCTGACACGTGCTGCCCATAATTGAGGAGAGGGGCAACCTGGCATCCTCTAAACTTAACGGGCCTGATTCCCACACTGTGAAACCAGCAGCATTACAACCACATGTCACAGAGTGGAGAATCAGCTCTACTGGGGTTAAAGACACTGGGGTTCCTCTGTAGATGACAATGAGCAATTACTGGCAATCGAACTACTGTGTTTGCTACCAGGAGTTCTGCTGGCCTACGGAAATACTGTAGAAGAGCTAGCCAGGGAGTTGTTTGGCAGAGGACACATACTGAACAGTGGACAGACAAGTGGCCAAAAGATTCCAAGTTTGTAGTGTAGCCATTGCTTCTGGAATCTTCACTGCCTTCATGAGAGGCCCAGGTGCTGCACAGAAATCCCCTGACAATGGTCACAAAATAAATACAAGTGGCAAAAGAACTCATTCTGCGCCATATTAGCAAACTGCACAGCAAGACACACTGCTTTCCCTCCTCTTCCCTATGTCACCAGCAATAGTCTCTGCATCTTTGGGTGCAGAAGTAAAAACCCCTTATTCGTTATTTACTAAGCACCAGAGAAAATGCTCGATGATCTATAAAGCACAGAGGAAGATATAGTAGCTGACTCAAAGTGCTCACAATCACACATACACAGCAATCCAATTCAGACACAGAATGCACCAGGTGAAATTTACCACAAGGAAGCATCGCCTTTTTATTGTTAATTATGAGAAAAATAAATTCTTCTTTGTTTGGCAGCTAGAATTGAGAAGCTTAGTGGAAGAAATGCTTTAAGGACGGATTTGAATAAAGCAAAGGTAGATGCTCATCCCAGAAAGGAAGGAAGGAAAGGTGTTCCAGGTGTAAAAGGCGTAGTTGAAGAAGCTGTGAAGTGGAGGATAGGAAAAGAGACAGAGGGAGTGTGGCTAGGCATGAGGCCTGGTCCGAGTAAGAAGCCAGGGAGAGAGTAGCAGGAAATGAGAGCTGAGATGCAGGACAGTGCAGAGGGAATTCAGATACGCTATCTCCTTCAGGTGGTTGTTACGGTGATGGCAGACTGCAGCACGCTGTACAGTACATTCTACTTACAGTGTGTTTTCTGCCTTGTTGATGATCAGGTACATTTCGTAGAACTTCCCCTGTGGGATTGCTCCATGAGGCACCAGCAGACTCACTCCTAGGGAAAAGAAAAAAACGGGGGATTCTTCACAGTGAGGAAATAATGAATGAAACCCCACTGAGAACAGCCAGTTTCCTCATGGGTTAATTTCAAATGGTGGGAACACTGTGCAAACTGAACTGGGGGCCTCCCTTCTGTGCAGACAGTGGTGTGAGAGCTTGAAGCCTCCTGCTGTTCTAACCCAAAGCTTCCCAGAATCTGGGACTGCTACTGCCGCTGGAAGTCAGGTACCGTTGTGTTGAACTGTCTGTATCAGAAGTGGGTACCTTCAGAGGCAGCTGGGTAAGGCCTGTGAGCTGTAAGTTGGCAAGTGCAGTGAAATGATCATGTGTTGGGTTTATTTCAGCTACTGGCCCAGATGCTTTCACCAATATGATTTGAAAGCAGCCATCCTTGAATTTGTGGCAGGGCCTAAGAGACCTTCTAGCCTGCCAAGATGGAAATCACGCCAGACTCCGTGCAGTCAGGCAGCATTCAGAGACAGGATAACCCTTAGCACAAGAAGTGCGGTAATTGTTTTCCTCCAATGCTCTCCAACAGGTTACAACTGGAGTAGCAAAAATACAAAATGATGGTCACCTCACGATGGTGACTGATTCCCATTCACTCTACCTTAGGGAGATACACAGGCCAGCAGCTTAATGGGGATGTCATTATAGAAAGGGATATTTGGATGCATCTTTCATTCCTAATCAGCACCACACTGTCTTCAAACCCAGAGGCCAACATCACAAGGCCTCACTACTCAACTGTAAGTTAGCTGACGTTAGAGAGCAACTGGGACAGCAGCAACCACAGCTGCACCTCCCACTCTGGCTCTTACCTGTATCTGGGATAGTGAGCCTTCCTCCCAAGCAGCCAAATGTGCCAGTGGCACTGTTCCCATGCTCCCGGGGCAGGGTGAGGAGATGCTGAGAGCCCATGGCCTTGTTCCTTATGTTCATAAAGTGATTGTCCCTGGCAATGTCCCCTGGGTAGGTGCCCGTGGGCACTGCCCCAAGCAGGTCAGCCCCGTCATTCAGCCTGGGGGAGGAGGATGCTGTGGAGGAGTTGTACACTTTGATCTTTAGGTTTGGGAGTGGGTCAAGCAGGGGGGAGTTGGTCATTGGGATCTTGTCAGAGGAGTCCTGCAGGGCATACATCGGGCCACGATATACACCGGCATTGGCTGTTAGGTCAGGCTGCATGGAAGGGTGCAACAACTGGGGATTGTCTGCAAGAAGAACAAAGATGAAAAAGCCAAAAACTTCAGTAACTTGTGAATTTAAACATAAATCAAAAGAGACCTACATGGAAACCTAGCCTTAGTGAAACAATGGGCTCAGGATGTATAAGACATGTCCCTGGGAGAAGCAGGTTATAAAGCAAGAGACTGGAGCATGGACTTTGAACACATCTGTCTCCCTTTTATCAATTACTTGAAAGGAAACTGCCTGGACTGAGAATCAGGATCAAAACTCCCTTAAGAATGAAGGAGAAGCTGCATCATAGTGTATGTATAGAAAGTTTAACAAGAATCTGAAAGTAGTTTGACTCTCCTGTAACTCTCACAAAGGAGTTGATACTTCATTCCGTGCTGAATAGCTGAAATGCTTTGTGTTCTTTATACTTTCTACCAGTTCTCTTTCCTTATTATTTGTATTCCTGTTGTGCCTAGAGGCCCCAATCAAGATCAAGGCCTTACTGTGCTAGGTACTGTATAAACATGAAGTCATTATCTTGCTTGATTTGTTTCCTTATTTTTAAGCTCAAAAATAAAATGACCTGTGAGCAGAGCTGGGTGAAGATTGGTAATTCCATTTTGCAGAGGATTTCAATACTTTGAAATTTGTTTTTCCCCCCGCAATTCAGAATTAAACCCCCAAATTTCAAAGTCCTCCATGAAAAGGCAAGTCCTGGGGTCCGGACACAGAGACAGAACTGGTGGGGCTGCCCCAGAACCATGGACCCAGGAAGCCCTGGCGTCTCTGACTCTGGGGCAGTCCATCTTGCTGGCTGCCCTGGGGCTGCAGGTGGGGCTGGTGAGCTGGAAAGAAATCAGGCAGGTTTCAAAGACTACCTGGTTTCTGGAGGAACTTCATAGAAATGAAGTGTTCCATGGAGATGGTTCTGATTTTGACAAATCAGCACATTCCAATGAAAAACTGTTTTGTCGGAATTTTTCCAACCAGCTCGACCTGTGAACTCGCCTGTTACTTCAGTTCTCAGCCTATGGGGACATGGAGACTTGACCCACCCTCTGTCTCCATTGAGAATTAATAGGCAGGAATCAAATGGAATCTGATCTGTCAGGTCAGTGTGCAGGGCAGACAGAAATCCCTCTCCCATGGGTACTGTCGTATTTATGGATAAATAGGTGAATGGAAGAAGAAAATGCTTCCAACAGCTCAGAGCCAAGGGACCTATTGCCTATTTAAGATAGAAATTCTGATTCGATTTTTTATTTTAAACAAGTTTTGGGGGCAATTTAATGCCAATGAAAGGTGCTAGATCAGGGGTGGGCAAACTACGGCCCGGGAGCCACATCCGGTCCTTCAGATGTATTAATCTGGCCCTCGAGCTCCCACCAGGGAGCAAGGTCCGGGGCTTGCCCCGCTCCAGCGCTCCAGTTGGGGGCTTGCTCCACTCCGTGCATGCCGTGGCTCTGCACAGCTCCTGGAAGCAGCAGCATGTCCCCTCTCCAGCTCCTACATGTAGGGGCAACCAGGGGGCTCCGCACACTGTCCCCACCCCAAGCGCCGCCCCCACAGCTCCCCTTGGAACCACGTCCAAAGGGAGCTGCAGGGGCAGCACCTGCGCCACCTGGCTGTGCCTCCACGTAGGAGCTGGAGGAGGACATGCCGCTGCTTCTGGGAGCTGCTTGAGGTAAGCGCCGCCTGGAGCCTGCACCCCTGACCCCCCTCTGGCGCCCCAACCCCCTACCCCAGCGCTGATCCCCCTCCAGCTCTCCGAACCCCTTGGTCCCAGCCCAAAGCACCTTCCTGCATCCTCAACCCCTCATCTCCAGTCCTACCTCAGAGCCCGTATCCCCAGCCGGAGCCCTCACCCCCTGCACCCCAACACCCTGCCCCAGCCCAGAGCCCCCTTCCACACCCTGAACTCCTCATTTCTGGCCACACCCCAGAGCCCACACCCCCAGCCGGAGCCCTCATCCCCTCCCGCACTCCAACCCCTAATTTCGTGAGCATTCATGGCCCGCCATACAATTTCCATACCCAGATGTGGCCCTCGGGCCAAAAAGTTTGACCACCCCTGTGCTGGATTGATAAACATGAAGCCTGAAGTCCTCTGTTTGCCCACAGAGCCGGTACAGTGCAGGAAGTGGAAATGCAAGCTTCCCTGCAATGCCCTGTGGGGTAATTTGGTCTCTGGAAGTCACTGCAGAGAAAGTGCCAATTCATTTCAGTTGCAGTGGTGGCTTTGGTGAAGCAGGCAGTTGAACCTCTTTTGTTTTCTGAAGAACACACACAAAACAAACTTCTGTATGCAAAGGGTTCTGGCATCATGGATTCTCTAGTACTGGAGCCCTGACTGTGGTTCTCACACACAGGAAGGCAATGGAAAGATGAGGAGAACTTCAATTCACCTCTCCCAGGTGGATAATAAATGAACTCCTCTCAATGTGGCCTATTCTTCCCCTGAGTCTGAGCCCCTTTATTTTGGTTTCACCTTCCTCCCTCAGCCTCCTTCCTCTGGGGGAGCAAAGATACTGCTGGACATGATATGAAGGAGCAGGCCAACTGATTTCTTCTTACCGTGCCTGGAGGTCTTGAAGTTGACTGGGTGAAAGCCTCCAGTCAGGGCAGCAGAGGAATCTGTGATGTCAGTGTCAAAATCCCGGCAGCTGCGCCGGTACACAACCACTCCGATGGCCATCAGGATGACGATGAAAACAAAGATGGCCACAACCAGGCCGGCATACAGGGCCACATCCCCCGTGGTTTCCAACACTAGGAGAGAGAAATGAGAAAAGGGAAACTAAGGAAACAGGGGCTTTGCACGAATCTGCTATCAGAACTGTGCCACCCACAGTTGGATCCCTGAATGATCAACCCACTGTCTTGGCACAAAAAACACCACTAATTCTAGGATTAACCCAAGCTTTTGGCAAATGCTGGGTGGGGGAGGCTGGGCTAGCACAACAAGTTAACAAATGGGTTCAAAGTGTAGTCCAAAAGTGAGAGCAACATGTTGGATATGCATATCTGTATCCCCAAAATCAAGAGTCACAGTGTGTGTGTGTGTGTTAGACACAGAGACACACCCACACCCAGCGTGACTCTTGATCTTTAGGCTCCCCAGTCCAGGGAGAAGGAAGAAATCTGCCTTGAAAGAAGATACACATGTAAATGGAAGAGATGATGACAATGAGCTAATAGGATAGTGCATGGAGAGATGCCATAAAGCGATCACTGGGCATTCTTCCGTCTGCTCCCATCTCAAACCAGTAGATGTGTCAACTCAGAGAAGGAAAGTACCAACTGCTCCGGAATGGCTGCTCTGGTGATTTGGTCAGCTGCTGCTACAGGGACACCTAAGCCAATATGTGTCACATTAGCCTGGGAACGTCCAATGTTAGGATTGAGGAAGCTTGAACCAGGCCCATGAATCTCTGCCTCTGTCACTGACTGCTGTTAAAATCCCTGACTCCCTTCCTTTAATTCTTCAATAGCAAATTAACCCCTATTTTATCCAGGGTATTTGCTCCCTTGATTTCAAATGAGTTCTGATGACACCACTCTGCCAAGGGAAGGAATTCTAACTCCTCAAGGATCCTGCAGCATCAATGTCTTGCCTCCAGCATATTTTAGTGTCAAAGACAGACTCTGCACCCACTATTGACTGGTGTTAAGTGCGTGGAGTCAGGCCATATTAGAGAATCAGATGCTGCTGTTTCTGAGACATACACATGTGTCTTATTTGAACATTGCCTCCAGGAAAATTACTCCAGATACATCAAACAGCTTGGCCTGAACACTCATGCTCTCTATTTTACCCCCTCTTTTCTTTTCTCCTTTCCTGATTTCCAGGTGCTCTCAGATGATGTTTAGTTTAGCTTCAGCGTTTCTAACCTGTACAGGGCCAGTGCCAGGTATATGGATCAGAACCAAGGCCAGTTTGTTATGATTATTTTTATTTCGTGTGTGTGTTTGTCCTTTGCAGGGGTAGGAGTATCACAGAAACATTCCAATTTGATGGTAAGGGAATAGCTGGAAACTTACACTCACAAAGAACCTGAAAGGCCCGTTTCCCAACTGAAAAATGTTCATAGGACACAGTATTTCAGAGCTATTGTGTACTCCAAAATTCTTCTAAACTGTGGGAAGAATCCAATTTTTAAAGTGTTCTTCTTTACATGTGTTAAATTCACTGTCTTCAAGAACTGTTGATCAATGTTTTATGTTCTGCACCTTTAGAAGGCAGTGTTGCCAAAGCTCATGATTTCATCATTGGTCTCATTATAATTATTGTTTTCCTTAAAGTCCCAGCTCCTGGAGTCAAGTGGATATGTGATGATTTCATCCTTCATTTTTAAAGAAAAATTAAGTTTCTAGCACTTGTGGCTACGGAAAAAGCTTCAAAATGTGACCCAGTGCACCCTAAAGGCTCAGAAAGCAGAAAGCAAATAAAAAGAACACCAAATCTATTATTTTTACAGATCTTATGATTTTAAAGCCAGTATCATGATTTTTAGTGAGCCTGACTCGTGATTTTTGAACATTTGTGATTGGCAATACTGAGAAGGAGCACACACTATCAAACCTTATAACGCTGACATGACTGGGGATGTAGTGGCACAAGAGGGAAGTAAATAAAACAGCCACATTAGTTTCTGTTCTACTGAAATCCCGGGAGAGAAAAACCATTGGTCAAATGGAAAAGGACAAAACTGGCAAGGAAAGAAGTTTGCAATGTTGTTGTTGTCGTGTTGGCCCCAAGGATATGAAACAGACAAGGTAGGTGAGGGAATATCTTATATTGGACCAACTTCTGTTGGTGGCGGGTAAAGCTTTTGAGCTACACAGAGCTCTTCCTTGGGAAAGAAGTGTTATTTCCTAAGTTGCTCTGGGTGCATTAACAACAACAGGGCTAGGAAACGAACAAACTGCTGGCACTGGTTTTAATTCAGGGCAGGGGAATCTAGGCACTTGTTCTAAAGCAAAAAACAAACCAAAAATTCCAACTTTTTTTATATGTATACAAACAAATTCTGTTCTCATTCATTTTGGAATAACTTCATGGACTTCGGTTACTTTGGATATATTCTGTTGTAACTAAGAATAAAGTTTAGCCCATGTAAATCGAGAAACTGATGCCTAGAATATAAGTTAAATTTAGGTCTCTCAAGCTTGATGGAGTAACTGTCCCTTTAACATCTGCTAACCCTTTCTAGTGTATTTCAGCTCTCTCCTCCCCTGCTCACTAGAGCAACTACATAGAGAAGCCCTTGGAGATGGAGCTTTCTAGTTCCAGGCTGACACCAGAGGTGCCAATGACCAAACAAAAGAAAAAACAAAGTAATGTATCACAATGAAATAAAGTGGCTATGAAATGAGGACTTACAGTGACTTTTGGGTTCGGTTAGAACTCTTTTATCTGTTAGGAAAAACAAAGTTAAAAACAAAAGGTGAAAATGATGATGGTGATGATGCTAATGGAAGGAAACAAACACAGTCATCAGCCCCAGCACACCAAGGAGAAGGGTCCCATGAGACATAAAAACCAGTGAATAGTTTAGAGAGAACAAGGAGCCTTAGGCTCTTTGGAGCTCTGTGAAGCCATGCAGAAGCCTTGCCCATGTGGTAGTTTTAGAAAGTAGGCTTGTGACCACTCTCCCACCCTGCAAGCCTGGCTGGCCTTGCTGCCCATCCAAAGGGGCCTAAGCTGCACAACCAGAATGGCAAATTTTGATCTACATTTCCAATAGGCTGCAGGAGACTGAGAGCACAATGACCTCTTCCCATTAAATCGTTTACTTCAAAAGGACGAGTGGGGAGACAGCTTCCCAAGCCGCTCCACCCACTGCTCACCTGAGGTTTTAGGGGAGCAGAATCTGCTTCTCTTCTGCCCAGCTTCCTGCTCTGACAATGAAATTCACTCACCTCCCAAGGGGTTCAACAGACATAAAACCCCAGGCACTTCAGGCCCCAGTGATAAAGTGGTGCCCAGTTCTCAGGGCCAGCCTCTGCCTCTTTTAGGTGTGGTGGAGCGTGAGAGGGGTCCCCCTAGGCTCAGCCCAGACCTGAGAAAGCCCCACTGAATTTCAGTGCTATTTTAATGTGTCCAGTGCAGCAGGGAGAACCATTCATTCTGTTAAAACCAGTGGTTACCACCCATTGGTTGGTCTTTTAGTTGGCACTCCCTTGTGATGGACTGAGAGATGAGTGTCCCCGTTCTCTACCCATCTCCTCACTTACCATACCCCTAGCACAGTTATGCCACCTCTCCTTCTCTCTCCATTCCTCCTCTTCTCTCTCATCTCTGTTCTCTCTCTCATCCCACTTTCTCCCTCTTTGTTTGCTTTCTGCTCTAATTCTTCTGCTTGTTCCCTTGGGTTGTTTTTTACTCCCAGTGTACCCCTTCCTCTCACTCATCAGATGACTACACGTTCCTGGCAGCGCAGAGGAGCCTCCATGTGAACTTTCAGGGCTTCACTGAGTACTGTGTGTGCAGAAGAGAGAAGCTTGGTTGCCAGGCTACTGTCTGAGCCTGTACACGTGAGCTTGTCTCATGGAATCTGCATTAGAGACCACCAAAGGAGCGTGTGGGAGGGGGGAGCAACTTGCAGGACATTTGCAATGGGGAGGATTTGGGTTCTTGAAACCTCTCCCACCCCACATACCCTCCCGCTTCGCTTCTCTTCTTCCCTCCTCTCCCACACTGGGCTTGTGCCCACCCCCCAGGCTGGAAATCAGTGGTTGAAACATAAAAGCATTGTCCTGTTACATGTTAGGCTTTGTCAACATTACCCTGTGTCTGGTTTGCTGATTATCAAAGCTATTAGCCTTATGTAATAATAGCTTTCTCCCTCCTGGCCCATCCTCCCATTTAACTCCAGCTTGGACTGAAGCCTTGAGTTACAAGATGGGCCAGCACAACAGTTTCAGCGGCTGTGGACGGCGATGGCCACTAGCAAGCTGACCCTGTGTCAGGAGAAAGGGCTTTGTTCAGACCCAAGGTTGGCAAATAATCGGACAGATTTACATGGGAACCCACCAGATATTTTTCCTTCATGTCTGGACTGTCCAAGTCTGATCCAGGATGGAAGCCCCTTTGTAAGGTCACTCCTTTGATTTTGGTTTAAAGCATGACGTCCCCAGCATGGGAACAATTATTTGTAGACGTTGATATAAAACAACCCTCCCCACTCCTTTCCACACCCTGCAGGTTCGCTGCTGCAGGAAGCCCCTGTCTCAATACTCCACTATTTTCTTTTTCTCTGTGAGGCGCTTTCCGCCTGCTAAGTGTTAACAGCCACCACCAGGTTGGCACCACACGTAGCTTAATTCTGCCTGCGAGCTGGACCCGACCTCTGCTGTCATGATGCCTTAATTTTCCCAGCCATGAGCTTCTACCAGGCCCAGAAGGCACTGGCTTGCAAGATGTTTCTTTGAAACCACTTCTGTGGTTCAACCCGCCCCCCTCCTCCTTGCTCATTGCCAACATGGATCGACACGGTGAGTTTATTTAAGATGACATGAAGGCAGTCATACAGCGAGGAAGGGGTTATGCACTCCTAACTCATTCTTTACAGCAGATTACAGCACAGGGGGCATTCAGGGTTATGCTAAGCAAACGAGCTGCAAGGCACCAGGGCAGATATTGCTATAGAACAAGCAGGTGGCAGCACTGGCACTATTCCTGGCTGTTAAGCAGACTAAGAAGGACACTTTTATACTCTCTAAAGCAGGTTTTTCTTGTAGCACCGCCCCATGTTTGTAACTGGGACCATTCCATGGCTGCTGGTCAGGAGTGACACTAAGGAATGAGGTGAGTCCAAGGAATTCCAAATTCAGGTCAAGGAAGTCCACCTGGATTGTCCCATGAAATGTATCACACTCATTTCCACTCAGACCAAGAATAGGGTTGGTATTTCAGAATATTTACTAGATCTATTTAGATCCCAAATGGGGAACAGGAAACATCCAAGCCTTTCTCCACTTCATCTGAATTCTAGAGGAGAAGGTTTAAAGCAGAGACGTTTTAAAGACTTCAGATTTTTGGCTTTACGCCAGGCCCTGGGACATAGACTTTATAACAATTGATTTAAAGAAAAAAACAAAACAATAATTAAAATCTTTTCTCACTGGGGATTTAGGTCATAAATTAAATGAGTTTGCTGGGTCTCATCAGGACACAAACATTGCACAGAGCCTGATCCAGTACTGAGCACATGCAACTTCAATGAAGTCTGAAGAGAGATGTATGTGCTCAGCACTCTGCACTTTGTGGGACTGGATCAGCGTTGGGAGTGGGTGACAATTTCTGCTAGAGCAAGAGGCAGGTTCAGGATGGGAACACCCAGGAGGTCTGCCACGACTTGTCACGTCAGTGAAGTACAGTGATCAGAGGCGAAACAAGCCTCTTGTCACTGCTGAATGGTCCCCTTTTCTGTGGCACTAAATGGAACTTTCCTCCTGTGGGAAGTCAAGCTGTATATTCAACCCTTCCCAGGCCTGGGGGTGACAGGCAGCACTCAGTCTGCTCAGGAGAGACCTGTGTTTAAACACTTGTACCTCAAGAAGTGGTGTGTAAGCGTGCAGAGTGGAAAAATACACAGAGGAGTCACTAAGGAAATTTAGGACTACAACTACCCCTGAAGAGGCATATTTAAAAGAAGTGGTTGGCCCTCTGTTCCCCTCCCTTCATCCCTCCTACCTCAGTTTCGTTTCCTCTGGCAACATACATGGAACACACATGCTTTTTTAAAGGTTAATGGACTTGGTAGTGATGGAAATTGATCATGCATGGGCCAGGAACCTGCATGGGCCAGGAACCTGCTGTGCACATTCACTCTCTTTGGTGCAGCCAGTGACCTCCACTCTGCCATGGCAAGGTCACCAGGGATGACAAACACTTTGCTTTTTTTTAGCAGCTCATTCCTAGGTCCTTCCATAGCAGGGAGCACACCGCCAAGTGTTCTCAATGATAATGCGTACCATGAGGTTTAGGGTGTCAGCTAGATTTGAAGCCAGGTGCCACAGAAAGAGGCTGGTGCTTCACCCAGTGACCCATGCAGTCAACTTCCATCAACCTTTTGGAGCAGTAATCAATTGCCTACCCTAAAAATGTCTAATCTTCAGGTTTACAAGTAGTGTAGCAAGGCTCCGACTGGGCTAGGGGGCTGTGCCAGAATTCTATGCTAGCATCGCCAACAGGTGGGGAGTCCAGTAATGGTGCTTAAGAATATATCCCACATCCACCTAAATGAGTATGAATAACCTTTATTTCCTACAGTTAAAGGGCTTTGTGCATCTTGCTGTCACTGCCTCTCCAAGTCAGCTGTGTGCTGTACATCACTGCAATCAGAATCCATTCCAGATCAGCTTGGATATCCACTCTGGAATTTCCCCGTGGTTGTCCGATGTAAAAAGCTTATGAAGTCGGCAATACTGTCAGACAGGCTGACAGCAACCCTGGTCTATAATGTCACTTGCAGTAAGAGGAGCTCTAAAGTGGGTTTGGGTTTCTGGGGCCACCTGGAATGAGCCGTGGGGGCAATCCCTGGGAAGAGATGATCTTGAGCTGGAGTTCTGTGCCCACCCGGAATGGGAGACCAGGTATAGTGCCTGCTGCCTAGACCAGTGGTTCTCAAACTTTTCTACTGGTGACCCCTTTCACATAACAAGCCTCTGAGTGCAACCCCTCTTATAAATTAAAAACACTTTGTTGTATATTTAACACCATTATAAATGCTGGAGGCAAAGTGGAGTTTGGGGTGGAGGTTGACAGCTCAAGACCCCCCCCCCCATGTAATAACCTCGTGACCCCTGAGGGGTCCCGACCCCCAGTTTGAGAACTCCTGGCCTAGACAAAAGCAGAACAAACCCTTCAGCTTGCAATGCCTTCCCTTTTAATAAAACCCTCTTAGCATGGTTTTTTTTTCTGGTTGTTCCTTTCCTCCCTCTCCCTCCCTCCTATGCTGTCCCCACACTGGCTCACTCACTTTGCATGCACAGTCCATCGGTGCAGTTTTTGGAGTCCAGCAACACTCCGCTGCAGTCCTTGCCTCCGTTTTTCGGGGATGGGGCAGTGCATTCCCGGCTCCTCCAGTGGGTGCACTCCGTGCTGCAGGCTGACCACTTGCTCCACTCTGTCCAGGCTCCATCTACTGCGTTCAGGAGAGAGAGAGAGAGAACAATTCATTGAAGGCTTAGAGGAAGGAGCAGAGAGATTTGAATCAGTATTGTATATACAGCAGTCACTTGGCTTCTCTAATCCTAACAGATAACAATCAAAAGAAACCTTAGGATGAGGCAGCTGCTGCACAACCTCTGAATTGGAAGGTTAAGCCATTACAGAAATGCAGATCTGAATTGGCTTTAGCAGCCCAAAGAGATGAGAACTGGAAGGTCATCTCACTGGTGGCTTGTTCTCTAGATGACAGGGCAGGCAAAGAAGGGCTCCAGCAGATCATTTGAGAGAAGGGCGATCTAGAAAAAGAGACAGCTCCACCAGCCTAGGTACTTGAGGGAGGTCTTATGGAGGTCCATTGTATGTCAAGCCCAGTCCTGCAGTGGCCTGGGGAATGTAAGGTGCATGGCTGCGCTCTCGTCTAGGACCGTCAGTTTTCACAGTCCACAATGAGAGTTTTCAACAGGGAAAAGTCACTTCATACTAGTTGGAAGGAGGCTGCTCTGAGACACACGCCCCCTGACCTCCTGCAGATCCCCCTCCACAACACACACCATCTCCACAAGCCCCTGGGCAGTGCTAGAGATAGTGCTGAACTGGACAATCCAAAGAGGGGAGCACACACCCATGATTACAGCTGGCCTCAGGCTCTTGCATGAATTGCCCTTACCTGGGCACATCGTGGTACAGGCGATTTTTTGGAAGGGTTGCCCCTCACAGGAGGAGCCGCCATTGAGAGGTGCTGGGTTGGTGCAGGTCCGGGTGCGCTTCTGCCAGCCACGGCCACAGCGGTTGTTGCATTGAGACCATTCTGACCAGGTGGACCAGCCACCATTCACTGTGTACAGAAAAGTAAACAGGAACAAACATGCTGCTTAAAAACTCAGAGCCTAGGAGTAACATCATATTCGTGTCCAAGCACCAGTCCAGCCACTTTTGTCCTCTCCCTCTCTGGCAGTCACTACAGCCAACAGGGAAAGCTACTGCTGGAGTGAACACTACAGTTTCATGGACCCACTTGGAGGGGTCACTAAACAAGGTGAGGGCTGTACCTACTCTTTTCCAGCTCCCTAGACTGATCCACACCAGCCAATCACCAGGCTCCTTTAATCTGACACATCCCCATTCACAACACTCCAACAAATAAACATGTGCCTTCAAGTGACCACCTCCCAACTCCAGCTGCTTGAAAAACCCTGAACATTTTTGAAATGTTCCTGGTTTCTCACCTCACTGGAGCTGCACTGATTTACCCCAGCTCTGCTGGCCTAGGAGTTTTAACTTCACAAATATTTTTGACTTGGAGAGCTTTTCAGTGGGACAGAGCAGAAAACGGCCACTATTTTGCTCCAGAAATTGAATAGAGACACATTGCTTGGACTTCTATCCTTTCATTTTAATTCACTGTGGTTCGCACCCTCTGAGTTTTGCTTTGGGTTTCTCATATGTGAAACTCAAAGCAAAACTCATCCAAATCCAGCATTTCATCTGGTTTCCTTGCAAAACTTGTCTAGCTTTGCTCAAACGATGCAGCCCAGCTTCACTTGAAGCACCATGTATATATTTCAGTGAACCAGCCAGGTTTGTATCAAAACTAGCAACCGGGCAAGGCTTTTTTTTTTTTTTTTTTTTTCCTAGTTTCAGGTTTGCTTTCAAAAGCCTAAGAATAAACTTTAGTACTGGTATAAGCTGATGGAGAGTTTCCTTCAGCTCAAGAGGTCTGTGTTTCTGATGCTGAATGGCATGAGTTCTACTCCTCACATCAGGCATGTGCATTAGCTGATAACTCTGGTACTTCTACAGATAAAGCCACAGATAATCATATAAGGTTCCCCTGGGCTTGTGGACACACACTATGGCTAATCCCTGCTTTCCTAAGAACAAAGGGTCAGTACCATAGACGATGACAGTGGCTGTGGTGCTCCGGCGCTTAGCCACAATATTCTTGGCCACGCAGGTATAGTTGGCGGTGTCTGAAAGCCTGGCCTGCTTGATTATGAGGTTATGATCTATGGTTATCAGGAAGTTGGTGTCTCGGGTAGTGTCAATAACATCCTCGTTCCTCAGCCACTCCACCTAGAAAGGCAGAAAAAAAGGGGAGAAAGAAAGGAAGGAAAGGAAAGACAGAGAAGAGTAAAAGAGTTGACAGGGTTGGTAAAGTTATTAAAAGAAAACAGAGGAAGGAGAAAAAAAGAGAAAGAGAACCAGAGGCAATTAGATATCATCATGAGAAAGCAAGATTACAGAGTTAAACATTGAGCGCCCATTGTCACTACCAGAAATCGCCTGGCTAAATCTCTGAGAACACCACTCAAAATCCATCATTGCACACCCAGGAAAAGAAATGATAAATAGCTAGGTGAGTGAGTGAGAAGGTGGCCTCAACCATCCTGCTCGTTGCACAGGATGAGAGAAGGGGAAGGTGTACTAACAGGTGGCCAAAGAAATGTGAAGCACGCTGGCTCTTTCCTGAGCTACTGTGCTCTCTTAGCACACAATGAATGCTGGTCAGTGGGTGCAGGGATGAAGAGGCAATTAACATGGGATGTGGCTAATGGGAGTGGGGGCAAGGCTAGGAAAGAAATCCGAACGCCATATGGTCCCCACCACAATGCTGGCTTACAAATGGTGTAAGCGGGGTGTAAACCAAATCAGGGACCAGTTGCTTTAATTATACAGGAAGAACCCTGCACTGGGGTGGTAAGGAAAACTACAGAGTAGAAGGTAATTTGATTGACACACAGAAGGAGACAAGCAGGAATAAGACTCAAAGAAGAGGGGGAAATGAGCTCTGAAGTTGAAGCTAGACAAATTCAGACTGGAAATAAGATCTACATTGTTAACAGTGAGGGTAACTGGACCCATTTACCAAGGGTCATGGTGGATTCTCCATCGCTGACCATCTTTACATCAAGATTGGATGTTTGCTTAAAAGATCTAATCTAGGAGTTATTTTGAGGAAGTTCTATGGCCTGTGCTATACAGGAGGTCAGACCAGATGATGATCACAATGATCCCTTCTGCCCTTGGAATCTATGAATCAGAACTAGGAGTGAGCAACGTATAGCCCTATGAGGCGTGATGTCATCATGCAGCTCCTCGGTGAGTCCATTGCTGGGACTGTGCGTTCATGGTGGTCACACTCTGAGCATGAGTTGGCACATCTCCCTGTACTCAGATGTCCTGCCAATCAGTAGAGGGGAGGTGCTCTGTGAGATGCAGCAATCAGGTCCTGCTAAGCACAGGTGCCTTTGCTTGCTTTGCCCAGTTGCTGCCTTAGCTTTGTTTGCTTTAGCATTTGCAGCGCCATGTCTAGGCAGCCAGCCCTCTAGTTGGCTCTTCCCCCCCACTGTCGGAGTTTGGGGTAATATATCCTCCTTCGGTGGGGACAACTGAGTGCACACCACATATCCCACTCGGGTTGTAGTGTTGCTGATTTGTTTCTGCTGTGCACTAGTGCAGGCTACTTGGGAGGGGTATGTGCAAACTGTGTGTGACGGAATGTGTGCACGTGTGTGTGTGTCTTTCTCTGAGAGAATTAGTATATGTAGGAGAGAGCTCAGAGAGTGTTAGTTATTAACTGTTTGTATTACAGTAGCACCTAGAGGCTGCAACAAGAAATTGGAACTCCACTGTGCCAGGCACTGTACAAACACATAGTGAGAGTCTGGTCCCTGCCCCGAAGATCTTACAATTTAAGTTGACAAAACAGCGCTGGAGGGAAAAGGTAGGCACAGAGAGATAAAGTGACATGCCCATGGCCATACATCAGGTCACTGGCACAGTGATGAAGCCAGGAACCAGGAATAGAACCCAAGTCCCCCAAGTCCCAGTCCAGTGCTCTCCCCACTGAAGAACACTGCCTCTCTAATGTGTGTACGTATTTCTGCATCTGTCAGTGTGCAGGGGCTTGTTAAAGTACATGCGGGTGTGAAAGAGAAAGAAAAAAATAAAGATTTAAAATAACCTTTTAGGTGTCGCTTATTTACACATTATCAAAAAAGTTGCAACGGTCAACAAATTCCATACAAGAATGAGGCTTGCGTTGCCTGGAGATATGCTGACAGCATGAGGCATGTGAGTTTTGTTTACCAATCAAAACCAAAAACGGGGGTTTTGTTTACCAATCAAGAACTGTTCTCATCTCCCCTACAAGCTGGGCTGGCACTAGCCTGGTTTGTCCATCTAATTGCTTTTTCTATGAGAGATGACAGGTCAGAAACTAATCTCACACAGAGCACACTCACGGTGATGCTAATGGTACTACACTAAATTACTGGAGCAAGGAGGAAAGGTGACTGGCCTTGGGGAAAGGCCCTGCCTTGCTAGGAGAGTCCATGAACATTTCTTTCCAGGCCTCACTCACTCATTTTTACCCATAGCATTTAAACAAATCATTCTGTGCTTTCTTTTCTTCCAGATCACTCCTGCAAGGGGTTAATGGCAGATGAGCATGTACAGGAGGGAGGCATGGGCTGAACAGGTGTTGAGATTAAGTGTGTTATTAGATGTCAGAATAACAGATCCACTGCCCAAAATAAACAGTTTTGCTGAATAATGGAAGCTGACGGCCTACATGAGGCCATCCATCATGGCCCCAATCCATCTGCAAAGATGTGCCCAATCTATTTCATATGCTCTCTCCCTCGCTCCTCGCTGGAACTTAACTGGCACACTGCTGAGGTGTTAGCAAGGTGTTGCAAGGGACAATGGGGAAGATGCGAGCGCTGTGGGCTGACCGGAGTTTGCGGGAGGCCGCATCCCCAAAGGTGGCTTGGAAATAGCTTGTGCTGTTTTATTAATGGATCACGATAGTGAATGTAGCAAGCTGGCTAGCAATTATTCACCTTCACGATCAGGCCTCATTGAAGCCACAGCTGTGTCCAGCTGAGGGAGACAGGGAGGGCAGGTGGGAGGGGTTGGTTACCAGTAAATTCCCATAGCCTCTGATTAAACAAAAACCACAGCAGGAAAAGGGGCAGGGCAGTAAAATCTATAACAGAAAGCTGTGTCTGCTAAAACTGGCAAAATACAAGCTATGCCAGGAGTCTTGTAAAAGCTATTCCAGCATCTGCCTCCAGCAGGTGGAAAGATACTTCCAGCAGTTACAGGTGCTCTCAGAAACAAGCCAGCAGCTCCCGCAAATCTAAGAGGGTGGAGTCTCTCCAGACTAACACCACCAGGACAGCCATAAACAGAGACTGCAGCTGAGAGAGGAAATGTGCTTAGCATTCCTTCCTTCCCACTGGATTGCAGGAGTGTTTTCATGAGTCAGCCTGAATAGTGGGGGGGCTGGCAGCTGGGAACTGAAATAGTGTCGCTCCTGCTGGGGCAGGGAAGTCGGTTTTATTGGGCCAGTCTAGCCCATTACATCCCTGGGGGGCTACAGCCAACCGAGGGCAGGCAGCGTTCCCTAGGGTTTTCTGCCAGGGGAGGGCAGCTCTAGTCATCTGTGGAGGGATGCCTAAGAGCCACACCACCACAGGCTGTGGTAAATCAGCACATCCCTCTGCTGATCTGACCATGCCCCATCCCCTGCCAGTGCTGTCCATTTTGGGGATGCTGCTGCTCGACTGAAGGCCCCCAGTGGACTGGAGATGGTGCAGCCTCCCCTGTAGTAATCCCTTGCTAGGAAGAGGGTTTTGTGCTGCTGAGGGTTGTCTGCCAGGTTCAGTGTCAATGGAAAATCTAGTCTATTTGGGCAAAGATGCTGGGGGGAAATAGCTGTTCTAAAATGTATGAGCACTCAGGTGAGTAGAGTTTTTCTTGTGGGAGTAAAATACATCCCCAGCATGCTGGCACCTTCTACCTGGTGTGGCCCCTCAGGCCAGCTCTGCTGTTGGGAGGTGTGAGAGAGATAGCATGGCTTACCTCTGCTGTTGGCACCCCCTCCGGGGGGCGGCACTGCAGTAACACCTCATGTTCCAGTGGAACCTCTTTCCCTAGAGGCTCCTGGTCAAAGTTCTTCCTCAGGTCTGGGAAAGAAAAATGAGCCCCAAGTGTTATCAGTCAGTGACAGGAATGGAGCAACCCACAAAACCTTGGGGGTACCGTATATGGACAGAGGAGCCTGCAGCGAGATAAAATCTATCAGGAGTTTATTGTAACATATCCTGCTGACCAGCCACCTCAGAATTCCCAGGGATTTCCTGTCTACCACCTCCACCCTTCTTTCCTGGTAACACTACTACCTGCCCCACCCACCCAGCTGGGCTCTTTGCACCTCAGCTTATCCTTGGCAATGTAAGAACTGTTGTTTCTTCTAGATGGAATCATATTCCAGCAGAAAGAGGCCAAGTCTGCCAAAGGATGTCTCAGAACAAGGGCTGACATCCACTTGCCCATGAATAAAACATGATTTCGAGTGCTCTCCCATTCCTGAAATGGGATTCACTCTCCTTCCCTTAAATGAACTGTTCAGAGCAGGCAGAAGGGGGGACGTTCTGGTCCGCTATTGCCAGAGTGGCATGTTCCTGCCGAGAAACTTCACATTCTTTCATCAAAATCAATCAAAAATGAAGAAGTCTTATGTTTCTGAAAGGGGACCACTGAAGTACGGGCTTGCTGCTTTGCTGCACTAGTGAACAGAGGGACTGAGCATCTGGCAGTGCATGTTGGAGCAGCTTAATTCACAGGGGTGATGTACCATTATGATCTGGAATTCATGCTGTCTAGTAGGTAGCACTGTGCATTTCAAGGAAATCCTTGGGCCAGATTCTCAAAAGAGCTCAGCCCCCAAAAGCTCCATCTGAGGCACCTAAATGAGACACAACATTTTCAGAAGGGCTCTGCTTCCACTTAGGTCCCTAAATGAAGTGGTCAGATTTTCAAAAGAGCCCATCTCCCAGTAACTCCCAGGATCTGGGCACTTTTGAAAATCTGGCACTGTGCCTTTGTCAGACGTAAATTGCAATTATTTTATTCTAAGTGAATTATACATAAATATTGTATGTGTTAACATTTGGAATTACAGAATATGCAGTGACATAGTAGGTCAGATAGGATCTAATATGAAAGTGGTCATATATTACAGTGCTATTCTGCCATCATTACATTAAGCAGCACCTTACTTCAGGAATAATCCCACTGAAGTCACTGGCACCAGTTGCATAGTAAGAAACCACTCATTGTGAATACAAGGAGAGCAGAACTGGGCCTAATGTATATAGAACACATATGTCCTTACTCATGATCACATGGGATGTTAAAAGAAAGACGACAAGCAGTCCAATACACCACCACGTGAAGGTATGCTGTACATTCGTGGGCTACGCTTAGCAGGGGAAAAGGAGCAACTGATACTAGTCCTTCCCTTCCTCACTAGATGGCGCTGCAATACATAGGAATTGCTTCCATCAAGCATTGCTCCAACTTGAGCTAAGTGTGATTGGTCACCAACTTTTTTTGTGATCCCCACATTCCCCCCCCCCCCCCCCCCCCCCCCCCACACACACACACACACACTTTTATGGGGTGTGTGACAAGCGCAGGCTGCCTGCCACAGGGCTACTTCGGGAAACTCAGAAGTCCATTAGCAAATGTCACCGAGCTGGGAACCATTTTGGAAAGGAGACAAGAGAAGGCTTTTCATGTAGCCTCAAAGCAGGCAAGTTAAAAAAAAAAGTGCTGTGTGTTCCTAAGAAACAAGACAGCTTTTTTTCCTAGCTGTGGCCTTACTGTCAACTGAGAGCAGGAAGCATCACTTTGTGTCAAAACTGCCTTGAAGGCTGAGAACATTTCAGTTGCTGCAGCAGGGGAAAAGCAACTGCTACAGATAAAACAGCATAACAGTTTCCACCCTAAATAGCCCTGCTTTCAGTCCCTCCGAGTCTTCTGGAGGGAAGGCGGCACTGCAGGTGCACACACAGCTAACGCAGCTGCCTCGTGGAAAGGTACAAAGGGGCTACTGTACCCTTTGTAAGGTGTGCAAGAGGGAGGCCCACTAAGACTGGTCTAAACTTAAATCTTAGGTCGACATCTCTATGGCACTCAGCGGGTGAGATATCCACATCCTCGAGTGGCACAGTTAGGCTGATCTAACCCGTAGCGTAGCTAGGTCAGTGGAAGAATTCTTCCCCCAACCTAGCTACCAGCGTGCGAAAAGGTGGTGTGCCTATAGCGACGGAAAACCCCTTCCATCGGTGTAGGCTGCATCTACATTATGGGGCTATGCTGGCAGATGTACGGCGCTATTCAGGGCTTTGGAGCAGAGCCCGGAGCTGGAGCGCGGAGCAGCTCCGGAGCAGTGGAGCTGCAGGTTTTTGCCTGGAGCTGGAGCGGAGCTGGAGCACAGCTCCAAAGTCCTGGCTATAACTATGCCATTATAGTTCTCATAGTGTAGCTATGGTCTAAGATGCACCTAGGAACTCTGCAGAAGGGGAAGGTGCATATTGCCTTGCTCAGCTGTGTAGCTAGTGCATATGGGGAAGGGGGCTCCTTCGTGCAAGCTGTACACAGTGCAACTGTAACATATTCTTAAAGTAGGTTTCCATATGGACTTTCAATATTCAGCATGATGCTTCTATAGGGAAGCATCTTTAATCAGAGAACAACTTCCCTATTGGCAGAACTGAAATTTCCACACTGCAATGCACTGTTTCGCCAGCTCTCCCCCTGTCAAGAGAATCACCTCTTACATCCTTTGGGTGGCAGAATAGCCCAGTTGTAGAGTTCTCCCACCCTAAGAACGCATGAGCTATTCACTTGGTAAAGGAAACAACACAGGAGGACAAGCCAGGATGTAGGATTTAAAGTTGCTGAATCAGGCAAATCACCTCTGTGGCTGAGGTGCTAACTTGTCAGGCTGCTAAAAATAATGAAGCACCACGTAAGTGCTGAGCATGTTGAAAGTGCTATACAAACATTAACTAGTTAATTACCACAACACCCTAGTGAGACAGGTAAGTTTATCCCCATTTACAGGTGTGAACACTGAGGTACAGAGAGGGTACATGACTTACCCAAGGTCACACCTTGAGTCAATGCTAGAGCTGAGAACAGTTCTCAAGAGTTCCCGGCCCTAATCCTGTAACCACTAGACAGCACTGACCCTAACCACTAAGTCCAGCAGGGTGGTGTAATGGGGGAATGAGGCTCTGCCACACTGAGTGAACCCCACTGGCTCATTAAATGGGAGCATCTACCTCAGTGGTTATCCTGGGTAAGCTTACTTATGGTGGCAGGCAGTGGGAAAGGAGGAGTCATGGAACTATATTGGGAGGAAAATCCCCACGAGGGCAGATGAAAAGGATTTCCCGCGCAGGGTGTGGGGACAGGCTGGCAAGAAGGAGCAAGTGACAGAGATAGGGACAGGGGCTGCGATGAATGAGAAGTGTGTATGACACCTACACGCTATCCGGACATAGGCCCTTCGGCTTTTTGTGGTCCCAGCAGAGCTCCATGCCACACACTGACACCAGTAATCTTCTAAACCAAAGAGCTCCTCCACCTGCTGCCGGGAGACCTCGATCTGGACCTCCCGCACCAGCATCCCTGTAAGGAGAGACAACAAAACAGAGGGTTAAGGAGGCCAGAATGCTGAACCTTTATGAAATAAGCTGCATATGGAAGTATACTGTGTGTGAGCATGTGTGTACTCACACACACATGCACTGATTGAAGGGGAGGAAAATAATGGTCCTGCAGCTCGAAAAAGGAACTTGAGAGAGGGATGCATTTGACGAGAGACACAACCCCTTCTTCATGAGGCAGTCATCTCCTCTCTTCCTCTGCAACCACTTCTTCTCTTGCCCCATCTTCTTTTTAAGGGCTTGACCCAGATTCTGATCCATGCCAGGATCCCCTCCACCCACACACACTGTTTTAAAGATGACACTATGTTTCTGGATATGCTGGTGGTTCTGCTGCATTGCCATTTAAGGGTTTTTTTTAAAAAAAATCTCATCTCAAAAACAAATAAGCTGAATATCCTGAGTTCGTAACACCACCATACCCTATTAAAACTGAAAGATTTAAAAACATAGCATTTGCTTTTTACCACTGATTCTTGCTTGTTTACATTTTACATTTCGCCCAGGCAGGGCAATGAAAGTAAAGTAGTCAATTTCACTTTTGTTTCTAGCCAGGTTCTTGTCAGGTTCCCTTCCTGGGTTTTATGTACTACCACAATGCTGAAAAGTTTGGGTTCCAAAACAAGGCAGGGGAATGTTTAAATCCAAACAAAAAATCTTTTTCCATTGGAATTTTTTTTTTTCATCTACACACATTTCTGTTGAGCTCACTTTAGGCCCCATTAAATCTTGTTTCTACATAGACTAAAAGTTGTGTCAAAATCAGCCTGACAATGTCCTTTTAAAGTGCCTGTCTGCAGCTGACAAGGAGCCTTGGACATATTAAAGCTCTGATGATGCACATGGTGCCATTGCACCCAGCAGAGAGGCCCTGAAGGCAAAAAATGGTTTGGAAATAAATCACGTGACTGCTCATATTTGGTAGTGAAGTGAGGTGGGAAGAACAGTATGTCAGCCCCTCACAGTCTGAGAGAGAGAAGTGGCCGCTGAGAGGAGAAGAAAGAGGGAGGTGAGGACTCTGTCTCTTAAGTGGAGAAATGCAATCTAGCTGAACTGAACAGGGTCATGGCAAGTGGTCAAGTGGGTCAACTTCTGAGACTATTTCTGGTCACGTGAACATGTCTTAGCCAGCTGGACTGTGTTTAGTCATCCCAGGGTGTGATAACTTATATGAGGAGTCACTATCAGAACTTGGTCTTGTTTAAAATAAATCCCCAGTTACTATCTGTATATACTAAGGAATCTGTTTTATTGCCTCAACAATACCAGGCACTGATACCTTAGCCTTTCTGTGTTTTTGTACAAACCTAGTCACATCTACATCACATTAAAAAATAAAGGAAAGGTGTTATTTTAGTAGGTGTCCCACCCATGGAGAAACATATAGAACATTCTCGTCCTCATATCTATTGTTGAAGAAACAAAACAGGGAATGATTTCCTATCTTTCACAACATATTCCATACATGTATCCCTCTCTAAGATCACTCGTGTAGCCACTCTGCCGATGGGAGAGAGCTCTCCCGTCGACATAATAAAACCACCTAAATAAGTGGCAGTAACTATGTCAGCGGGAGAGTGTCTCCTGCCGATATAGCGCCATGCACACGAGTGCTTTCGCTGGCAAAACTTACATCACTCAGGGGTTGTTGGTGGTTTTTTTTTCATACATCTGAGCGATATAAGTTTTGGCAACATAAGTGGTAGTGTAGACATGGCTTTAGTATGAACTGAGGAACACGCTTTGTTCAAAATGTATAGTGCCCTTTTTACAACTCTTTCCATTCCTTAAAATATTTCTATTGCATTGACAGAACAAGATGGAAACCTGAAGGGTTGCCTAATGGTCTAGCAAAGTCTGTGTAACTTAATAGATCATGTGCTAGCCTTGCATTTTAAAAAAACAGGAGTACTTGTGGCACCTTAGAGACTAAAAAATTTATTAGAGCATAAGCTTTTGTGGGCTACAGCCCACTTCTTCGGATGCATATAGAGTGAAACATATTGAGGAGATATATATACACACATACAGAGAGCATGAACAGGTGGGAGTTGTCTTACCAACTCTGAGAGGCCAATTAAGTAAGTGAAAAAAACTTTTGAAGTGATAATCAAGATAGCTCAGTACAGACAGTTTGATAAGAAGTGCGAGAATACTTACAAGGGGAGATAGATTCAATGTTTGTAATGGCTCAGCCATTCCCAGTCCTTATTCAATCCTGAGTTGATCGTATCTAGTTTGCATATCAATTCCAGCTCAGCAGCCTCTCCTTGCTGTCTGTTTTTGAAGTTTTGAAGTTTTTCTGTTGTAAGATAGCGGGTGGCTATCTTACAACAGAAAAACTTCAAAAACAGACTCCAAAGAGAGACTGCTGAGCTGGAATTGATATGCAAACTAGACACAATCAACTCAGGATTAAATAAAGACTGGGAATGGCTGAGCCATTACAAACATTGAATCTATCTCCCCTTGTAAGTATTCTCGCACTTCTTATCAAACTGTCTGTACTGAGCTATCTTGATTATCACTTCAAAAGTTTTTTTCACTTACTTAATTGGCCTCTCAGAGTTGGTAAGACAACTCCCACCTGTTCATGCTCTCTGTATGGGTGTATATATATCTCCTCAATATGTTTCACTCTATATGCATCCGAAGAAGTGGGCTGTAGCCCACAAAAGCTTATGCTCTAATAAATTTGTTAGTCTCTAAGGTGCCACAAGTACTCCTGTTCTTTTTGCGGATACAGACTAACACGGCTGCTACTCTGAAACCTTGCATTTTAAAGGCAAAGACTTCAAAGCCATGTGCAGTTATATATTTTGTTAATTAAAATTTTGGTTAATTTATTTCCATCAATACAATTAGAAATTACTTTATTTGTAATCACCTTTCTATAGAAAAAATGAGACACCTGAAACAAACAAAAAAGATTTCCCATGGGAAAAAAAGAAAGTTTAGGGAAGAAAAAAAAAAAAGCCAAGATTTTCAGAAGTGACTCATATTTTGGATGCCAAGATTCTTTACACACTTCAAAGGGATCTGATTTTCAGAGGGAGGTGCTCAGCGCTTTCTGAAAAATCAGCCCTTTACAGTATCTCAGTTGGGCACCCAAGAAGTCAGATAGCCCCAAATCACTAGTCATTTGTGAAAATCTTGGCTGAATTGTTTAACCACATAAAGAGGGGTTATAGCTTTAAACTGCCATGTTAGAACATTAAACAATCAAGTTGAACAAGACAATTGGGACCAAGGCGAGTTTATGCATCTTAGCAGTGCAAAGTTAACACTCATATGTCTTGCTCCCCAGGGCCATTTAAATGGAGAGCCACTTTCTAGCATGGCTGCTAGTACAGATGTTACCTATTTTTCTGTCTGAATTATTATTCTCTGATTTGGCTTATTTTCATTTTTTCCACATAAAATATACTAAGATACACTACAACACTTTTAAAGTATGTTTACATCAACAAAATTTGTCATAAAAGTTATTATTCAAAGCCCATATTTCTGATCTGTAGCTAAGGACATTGTGTTAAGGGAATCAAACTTTACTATGTTAAGTTGAAATGGGCAATTTTGTGACCCCTCTCCCCTTTGCAGTTGTTCTATCAATGCATAGTGGACACCTGATATGCATACTGTTAGCAAAGTAGGCCATCTTGATTTTAGCTTCTTTTCTCAGGATGGCTGCTGGTCAGGTAAGCCAGCTGCCTATAGTTTTCTTACAGAGGTGCAGTATTGCCTCTATATGAAAGTTGGATTCAGTTTTTCACCTATAGTTGCAATTCAACCTCAGTGAAGAACAAATGTTTTCTCCCCAACTTTACAGCACCTAATCTGTGAATGAAGATTGAATTTTCTGAGGACTGTCAACTAAATCTGTTACTGCATTTATGAGTTAAAATTATAAGAAATGGGGGTTTTAAGAAAATTTTCCCCAACGTGAGAACATTTTCCAGACCCCTTTTGCTCATAAATGAAAGTTTTTTATCCTTCAGACTTTTCATATAGTTAAAACTCATTGCCAAATGCCTTCAAATATGCCTTTGAAGAAATTAGGTTCTAATTAAGCAAAGTTATTAGCAATGTTTCCCTTTGTTTTCCATTATATCAACAACACTCCCTTACTCAAAATGGCCACTATTTCCCACGTTATGAACATTGAGCTGTAACAATTTTATGAACACTATAGGTAACTAGTCAGTAGGAGGAAGTTATTGTATATTGGGGTTATTTGAATTTCCTATGTAACAGATCGATCTAATTTATACTGGGGGAAGTGGACTGTTCATTATATATCCATAATCTCAAATTCAATAGGGTTCAATGCATGAAGGCCATGTAATGGCTTCCCAGATAAGAATGCCTAAGCACATACTTGCAAGACAATGGGGCAAAGCGTTAACTTCAAGATCCTGTCTCAACCAGCTGCAAACCTTGTTTTGCCATAGCACGGAATTACCAGATCAAAGGGCTATAAAGAGTTAAAGTGACTTGATTCCTGCCAAGTGGGAGCGGGAGGGTAAGTTACCAGGGGCTATCCAGGGAGTTGTCAGAGAGCTCTGACAGGGCACAGGGCTGAAACTGAGAGGCTCTAGGGAGAAGTCTGCATGGAGTGAGTCCAGCCAAGGTCCCCCTGTGGAAGATGGTTATATACCTGGTAAGCTTAAGACATGCGTACAGTCCATTATATCGTTTTTAAGATATGTTTTCTCCAAAATGCTTTTGTTCTAAATAAGTAAGTGGATTTAAGGAGGCTGTTTGGTCACCAGTTACCACTGTCATTGCCCCGGAGGGAACAGAGCTGCAGGGTCTGGACATAAGTCAGACTTACTGAAGCAACTCACGGTTGATGCACAGGAGAATGCAATCCAGGGCCCAGTCAGTCAGAGTGGGAGAATGACAGAAATACAGGGGTGGACAGGACCTCGAGAGCTCTAGTCCAGCTCCCTGCGCTGATTC